GTGTTAATCTTAGTTAATTAAGTTTTCTAACTTTGCATTATGCATAATCAACTATACATGCTTAATAAATAAATTACTCAATAGTGCTAAATCTGTTTGATAATAAATGTCATGATAACATCTTCAATCTTCAAAATTCGCAGCCACTTAAATTCTTTTCATAAATCTGCGAAAAAACCAGTTTCCGATCACTGTGCTCACTGCGCATCTCTCTTTATCTCTCTGATGGTTTGCATATTATCGCCACTACCCGGATCTACGTACTCGGTTAACCCACTACCTCCAAGCTGCACGAAGCGATTATGGACTCTCGTGAAGGGAAGAATCAGAAAATCGGTCAACTAAAAGCATAGAGAATGCTAAGCCGAATGAGTACTATTTCAATGTGGAAAGCAGTAGAGCTTTGAAGCCTGAAAATATTGTAACGATGGGCATTGCAGTACTGAAAAATGAATTTTCCAGTTTACAAACGCAATTGAGCCATGAGGATCAAAGCGATGCGCTCAGCATTCATCATTAAACTTCGTGTAGACCTAAATCTGTTTATTTCATCCTGATTGTTTCTATGCCAAGTATTTGCACAAGTTCGTACGTCGGAAAATAAATGATGTATTCTAACAGAAGTAAAAAACTAGTGTTTCGTATTTATTACAAAAATACGTTTCCCGCATGTTTCCGGCCGTCACGAGAGGCATTTCTGCGCAAAGACCAGTTTTCGATCACTGTGCGCATCTTTCCCTTTCTCTCTAATGCTGTCCATATCGTCGCCACTACTCGGATCTACATAGTCTGGTTGCTCCCACTACTTCCAAGCTGCGCGAACGTTAGCTATTAGCTATATGTGCATAATTCCCTGAATGTTCGGTAACGACAAGTAAACAAGGCGGTTGCAAATTCTCGTTTCGCTCAGTGACAGAAAAAAGACGTTTCTTACAGTGCATCCTGGAATATTGACACGAGAATACTCGTGTTAAACTCTAAATCCACCATGTACATCAAACAGGTATCGCAAAGTGAATTTAACACAGCTTCCAGCTATTCATCCCTTTTCGCGCGCTTTATAATAACTTTTGATAGACCGATATTCAATGTCGTTACTTATATTTAAGATCATTTTAAACATTTCTTATCCCTGTCTATCCCATATTTCTAGTCTCTGTCTTGTGCAGGAATCAAGGATTTAAGCAAATGCTGAAGGCAATCTTAAATATAAGTAACGATAAGGACTCTGAATACCGGCCATAGATAGACGCTTCTCGGTTCAATGCAAACATGGCTACTGTTTAGTTAGCGCGAAATGTTTATAAGAATTTGTATCATTAATGAATTAACTCAAACAGGATGTTATATGTATGATTGCACATGATTAGATGCATATCGTACACAGATGTTCCCATTGACGACTGAATGCATCTAAGCCGTACGAAATATTATAGGCTGACACTACTATTATTGTAGAACAATTGTTACAATATTTCTCATAGAAATTTTCTTTACCTTACCAGAACATTATAAATAACTACATGTTCTGCACAATGAATGTTTCTTTTGT